AGTTTTTACTTCGTTTCAAATGACTTGTCATCATGGTCCTAATTTCCATGAAAAGTGATAATACAAGGCATATAGGCAATTTCATCATTGTCAATTATTCGTTATATTAATTATATCTAATGAATTTATCTGTTTATAGTAATGGTTCTATGGAAACGCCACCATATTTAATTATTTACAAGTGATAAGCAATACTCATCTCGGCCTATATCAGTTTTTACCTCTTTTTAAAATGACTTGTCATCATGGTCCTAATTCCCATTAAAAAAAGGATACTACATATAGGCAATTTCATAATTGTCAATTATTGAAAAATAGATTGTTTTCGCAAAGATAACTTGTAATAGTTTTTTTTTATTATCACTGTCATGAATATGGCTCATAGGATGTAAGATATATTGGCATGGAGATGTCACCATTTGTAATCATCAAACAAACTCTTTCTCTCTCTCTCTCTCTCTCTCTTACCCTCTCTCTCTCTCTCTCTCCCTCTCTCGATTAGTCTGGAAGGTGTAGAAATTAGATATTTTGCTTCCATGAAAATACTTGTCATGAAACGTGGATTTATAGCATGTTATTTACAATTCTGTGGAAATGCCATCATTTTATGTTAGAAATAGAATGACTTAAACCACCTTTCTTCCAGCCAACAATTTTAGTGTAGAAACTATTTTTTATTTCCAGTCAAATATTGACATGGCACTGGCACCATTTTGAATTAATTAGCAGAACTGGGAGTAGTTAGCCTCTCGTCCAAGGCCTTCCAGGTCTTCAAAAAGAGATGTTTCCATGGTCACGACCGTTTAACATTTCTCATAATGTCACGAAACATGGCTCATAGGGTGTAATTAGTATTGTCATGGTGATGTCACCGCATTCAATTATCAGAAATGAGATGACTCATTCTCTCTCTCTCTCTCTCTCTCTCTCTCCCTCTCTCTACCGCCTCTCTCTCTCTCTCTCTCTCTCTCTCTCTCTCTCTCACTCCCCCCTCTCTTTCTCTCTCTCTCTCTCTCCATCTCTATAGGTCTAGGTGTAACCAAATAAAATAGTTATTGTTTCCATGATGACTCTCTCCCTCTCTCTCTCTCTCTCCCTCTCTCTACCGCCTCTCTCTCTCTCTCTCTCTCTCTCTCTCTGAAATACCATGATATATCATCGAATATAGGCTTTATATTCAAAAAGAATTGAGTTAGTTTAGAAGGACATGATGGAAATAATGTCAATTATTAGAAATGAGATGACAATTTTGTTTTCTCTTTCTCACATTTTTCTTTTTTCTCTTTTCTCTTTATTTTTCGCTCACTCGCGCTTAGTAGGACAGTGGGTGATGTTTTCCTGGTATCTACTAACACAATGGAGTCCATAAAAAGCAGTGCATGATAACGTCTTTTTAAATCAAGTAACAGCTTCAAGGCACACTGTCCTATTTGTAGCTACTTGCTCCATCTATATAGAAAACTTTCCAAATCAGTGCCTGTTGGTCCCCCATGATCCTCTTTTTCTTATGTTAAATGAGAGCTGAGGTAATGAGATAGCCACCTGTCACAGTGACCTTGCTGTGTGGTCTAATTCCTTCTGGCCCAGTAGTATCACTGTCTTGTCATGATGGTGTCATGATGATGTATTGTATTTACGGACTCGATGTATTTACATCTTGTTTCTATAGCAACAGATGTTTCATTGTGTGAAACCTTCATGAAGATGTATACGATGAATACAAAAAGTTAATAAGCAATTCTCTTCGAAACAGTGTTTGACTGGTCACATAAATAATATATGGTATGCTTTTGTCGCGAGTATTATTGGGTCGCGTGCCAGCTAGGGATACGTGTTATAGGATTTTGTGAAAGAAGGTTAAACAAAAAGCGTCATTTGTGGCTGTCGGCTGTGTGACAATTTCGTAAACGAAGCATAATGATATACATTAAATGTATCATCGTATACCCTCAGCACCCTCGCTTCCCAGGGCCAGGCGCGCACGCAGGATTTTTTCAAGGGGGGGGGGGGGTTAACATTTATAAATCGGGCCGAAAATTTCGCAACGACTCAGCCAGCCGCTGAATAAGCGGGGGGGGGGGGGGGTAATGGGACACTTTTTTTTTTTTTTGGGGGGGGGTCCCAAAATTTGAAAATTTGACATTTTGCTCCGTTGGGGGGGGGGGGGGTAAGGTCAGCTTTTTTAGGTCAGCCATGGGCAGCCTGGGCAGGCGCGTACACAGGGGGGGGGGGGGGGGGGGGTTAGGGGGTAGGGGGTTATGGGGGGGGGGGTGTTTACACACAGAAAAATACCAAAAGGGAGTTTAACCCCCCCCCTCCCCCCTCCCCCCCCTCCCCCTCCCCCCCCCCCCCCCCCTGTGTACGCGCCTGTCCAGGGCCATGCCTATAAGGCATGGAAATTACCTTTTACTTCCATTCAGATCACTGTCTTGTCATGATGGTGTCATGATGATGATGCATGTCTCTTGATGATATATTGTATTTACGGACTTGATGCATTTACATCTTGTTTCCATGTCACAACTGTCACTCCCTTCAAGCCTCTAATGGCGTATGTTTTAAAATTAGAAAATGGCTTTGTCATAATTGTGTCAATTATTTAAAAGATGTACATGCTAACATGCACCTTATCTAATGACATTATGTGGAGTGTATCGGTTTTTATTTCCATGGATATGTCTTGGGTTATTACTTACTAACAACCCAATGAAAACAGTGTCGTATAAGTACATGTAGTTGGTTATTAAAGTTAAAGACCAGTATTGGAAACGCCCCAATTTCAAAAAATGAAATGGAAGCTTTTATTACCAGTCATGTGAAAGAATATGTTTTGAATAATACATGTTGATACAAATTTTGCCGGGAAACCGCCTACTATTTGGTAAATTAGTTTATCTATTGGCCTGTGAGAGATAAAAACGCACGTGTCGCGCACGTGTGCGTAGTCCCATATACATCTTTCTGTGTACAGTGCTTGTAACTTTGTGACGACTGGGCCAAATTTCTTATCATTTTGATGATTCCAGAACCTTGCAGTACATCTATGCTAGATGATCAACCTTTTCTGATCGATTTCACAACGTTTCTTTCACAATGCAATCGCATGACCATAACTGGTCTTTATCTTTAAGCATGTTAAGGAAATTGGGTGATTCCGGCGTCCGGGTTTTTTTTTCGTCAAAAAGTTTATTATTAAAGATTAAGATTGGGATTGGTTTTTCGTTGGGTTTAGGTTAAGGTTATTATTTGGTATAGAAAAGGATCCAGGGCAAAGATATTATGCTCAACCTTTATCAACAATTTACTGAAGGAGGTTAACAGCGGAGAATTCTCCATTTTCCTTTTGCATTGCGTTTACTTCCACAAGAGTTGCCAAAGCTGTTTATATTTTGTATTTCCTCACTGGGTGGTTTGAAGATTCCAACAAATTGTAAAGTGTCTTGTGAGAGCTTTTCACCCAAAAGGATACTCGCTAATGAATACCCTATTGTATAGACAAGGATAATATTCGTGTGTGTGATATCAGTTCTCTATATCATCTCTGCAGATTATGTTTTGGTGTATCCATGTAAACACAAAACATGATGCATCAGAACTGATCAAATTATCGTTGCAGGATCTCATGTCGTCTTTGTCCTCCAGCAGCAATAAGTTGTCTCGAACATTAAATATGATGGATATTTCATATTAAAAGACGAGTATAGATTTTATCACCGTCAATAGTGGAATAGTGGAATAACACTACAAAAGTATAAAATGTATGTGTGTTTAATAAGATTTATTCAATCTACGAGCTGGGAAAATATACCATTTATTGTGACCCTGTGAATCAAACCATATTTCATTTTACCTATAATTTCTTACTACTTCACAAATTGTGTCCTTTTTTTGTGACTATTTTTTTAGAGACATCGATGGGTAGGCCTACATTTGAAACAATGTGATTTTCGTATGTTAATGCAATAGTATTTTTTTAAAAATGATTCTTTTGTACGTGTGCCCTTCTAATTTTGTCAATTTTCGGGAACGTTAAAATGTCGTCTAATAACTGATATGAGTTGATAAAGCGGCATAATCAGCCTTCGAAGTTTGAACAGACTCTGAAGGTCTCAGCTTCAATACCGAGTCGGGTCTTTCAGACCATGAATTAAATTGTCGGCCTCCAATCATATCATACACGCACGCACCCAACCATACACATTTACGCATGTGCCCTCGCCCACACCGGGGGCCATACGTAGCAGGGGCGGATCTGGATCCGCCACTGACTGGGGTTGATGTTGTCTTTGCTCTGTCTATTGGCGGTCTAGGTCTATGTGACTAGGGCATTACTAATGTTTTGTTATTGATGATAAGGCATTTCAGAAAGGCAGGGTATGCTACTGACACCACTTCAGGTTTATGCATACTGCAAATTGCTGCTCATCTGTCCGAGTGAGAAATCCTCTTAGCATATGCTGCAAAATAAAGATACATCATACCAGTAGTCACTTTGGCATCACACAGTGGCGTATCCTGACATTTGCTTGTGAGGGGGGTAGGGGGTGGCCCTGTTGTGCACTACAATTTATAAGGGCCGGTCCAGGAGATACACGGATGCAGCTTCCCCAGGCTATTTGCCTTCGTTCATAACATTTTACTTTCAGTCATGATCGTTGTTAGCCATGCAAAATTGAGAATTTCTTAGTTCATTTTTTTCCCAAGTGCATGTGATTCCTTGATTAACTGTTAAGCAGGTTATTGTATGTATTTTTGTTTTACTTGGTTGATTTTTTTGGAGGGTGTGTAAGCCTTCGAATAAGTTGATTGTAATATGTCAAGACGGAATTAATGACACCCGTATTTTTATTGAAGTCTAGTTATGTTTATTATTTCCATTTAAGAAAGACCTATGGAATTTTCTTGTGCATATTGTACTTTAAATTTGGATTACATTCAATGCAGCACTGGCGAATGATGACGTCAGCTGTCCCATGATATCCGATGTGTCTTGTCCCACAATGACATCACTAGATTCTGATGACGTCATCCAAATGGTGCCTAAGAGACTACCACATGATCATCCATTGGCAGATCGTACTGAGTTGATGGGAAATGATCTGAAATTGATATGTGCTAAACCAGGTAACTAACCCCATATACCCATGTCGGCTACAGCGAACTTTCTAAAGCTGGTTTTCTTGAAGTCGACCAAAGATCAAAACAACTCGCATTGCATCACGTGCATAAAATATATCATACTAGGTCTAATCATTATATTCGATCCGACTTCGATCTTGTTACTGACTTACATGAGTATAATACAAGAAATAGCCGATTCAACTTTAACTTACCAGAAAGAGTAGGTAGTATTGGAAATTCGTTTTATTACAATGCCATAAAAGATTGGAATTCCCTTCCCAATGGTTTAAAGGAAATAGAAACTATGCTCATTTTAAGAGGAAATTAAAGAAATACCTAATGCTTGACAGTCAGATAAGAGAAGTAAATGACATGTTATATGATTGAAATTTGTATTCTTCTGCCGGTTCATACTTTTTCATTTTGCATATACTTATGTTTTTGTACGTTATAGAAATTCTACAAATTCATCATTATTTTCTTCTTCTTCCTCCGCCTCTTTTTCTCCTTCTCCTTTTCCCTTTTCTTCTTGTACTTATTATCATTTCTATCATCAGTTTAATGTTGTTATTATTATTATCTTTAATAAGTAATTCTTTTATTTTTCTTATTTGTCTGTAAATAATTATTATCAAAATGATAATTACTATTTAAAGTTATTAGTTTTATACATCTCTGTAATGGACCCCACTGGAAATAAGCTCTCGAGCTTTTTTGGGTTATCCTGTTCAAGCTGACTTATTTCTGATCTGTTATTATTGTATATTGTTGTATGTTGGAAGCTTGTCGAATAAAAATCAATCAATCAATCACGTATTTCTTTTTCGCGAAGGATGCAAAATCATTTTTGTTGGCCACGGAAAATGAAGTGATGGAATTCATGATGGGCAAAAGGGTGTTAAAAAAAGGGCAACTCTTTCTGTTATAAAACAGATTTAGATATTCATGCTCTCATTATGGGCATTTCCTCCGATTTATTTGGGGAAACCGAACTCTCCTAATTGAATTAAAAAGGTAACCTGTTTCCAACATGTATTTCTTACATTTGTTTTAATTGCTTATAATTTATTCGTAATGTTTTGTTGGAAACATGAATAAATTTGAAATCTTGAAATTGAAAAAAAAGAAAGAAAAAAAGGAAACGAATACACTTGACACAGAAGGCATATTATCTCAAAAAAGGGACGGCAATTTTTTCCCTAATATATATAATTTCACTACGATTTTCTTTCTTTTCAAACGAACGTGATTTCTAGAAACCACCACCAATGTGTTTTCTCTCTCGGGGATGGGGGGAGGGGTGATGGTACGAGGAATAAAAAAGGCTCCACAAAATTGATTCGGGCCTTAATTTACCTACCCCTTAAAGGCTTGATTTTTTATCTTGATTTCTTTTTACCCTCTCTCATGATTTTTAAGAGCCAAATATTTATACACATTCGTTTGACATGCCATTTTATCCCAGACTGTTTGTCGAACCCTTGTCTTCATGGAAGCACTTGTACGGAAACATATGATGGGTATGAGTGCCTGTGCTCGGTCTGCAGTTCTGGTAACCAATGCCAAGGTAAGAACTCATTAGCAATCTCATGTAAAAGCTTTAAAGAATCCTGAATGGGTCTACCGAAATCGTTAGTTATTGAAGCGCCTTGAGTACTGTGCATGGTGGATATAAGCCATTTAGAAATATCGAATGTTTGATTTGATATTTTAAAAAATTCTCGTTTCATTATAAGCATGTACAAGATACATATATATATATATATATTCACTAATTCCTTAACCACCATCACGCCTTCCCTCTAATACTGTAGTTTATGAAGAAGATTTTCCTTGTTAATAATAATAGTATCGAAGGCCTTGGAGAAGATATTATTTTTGATATCGGATGTTCTTGTGTAGACATTTTTATAATGAAAGGTATGGGACAATAGTTGCTATCTCTTTTTTTTTTTAAATGGTAATACTTTAGCGATTGTAGTTTTTGTCAGGTACACGTTAATAAATAGATTAAAAATATGCACCAAGGGATCAATGATCACGCTATTAATTTTCTTCAAACATGAGTTTGGGATTGCGGCGGACTTTGCACTTATTAACTTGTAAAATATTAACAATATTAATCACTTCACTTACATTTGTGGGAGAAAGGAATATGGAACTTTAAAACGGATTTTCGAGATAATCATTGAATGATTTATTACGCCCTTGAATTTTAATACATAAAGATTACATTTCGTTTCTTGACATATAATAACATTTTCATTGTTTTGATAAGTTACTACAAAATGATATATTTGAGTCTTGAGAGAATTTGTAGCGACGATTATGAGAGGTGATCCTATATATATTTGATCTGAAAACATTTGTTAAAGGCTTTGCTTTTTCAAAGGAGTAGGGTGTAGGATAAAGGCTTGGGGGTTAGGTTAGGGTTCGGGTTGACATTGTTTGGAATTTGGTTATAGGATTGGAGTTTGGTTTAGGATTATGTATACTTTTATCTCCAGGGTTGAAATTAGGGATTAGCTTATTAAGAATGGCCGCGAAGTAATTGTCGCCGAAAAAGTCGTTAAATACCTCCCCCCCCCCCCCCCATAATCAAGGCAATATATGACCTTGCTCATCTTTCAGACAAGTTATTGAAAGACTGTTCCGAGATATACGCTTCAGGTGAGAGGATAAGTGGAGTATACAAGATTTGCCCCGGCTCTAACGTGGAAGATAAAGAACCGATTGACGTCTATTGCAACATTGATGAAGATGGTGGATGGCTAGTAAGAGATTTCAGATTTTTATTTAAAATAAACCCAATATCTATGTATAAACAGTGACAACAACAATGTCTTGAATAGAGTTTAATTCGTGCATATATCAAAACAATTACGTTTCCATGTGGAATCATAAGTTTCCAAATTGCTGCTCAATAACACCTGTGTTCGTAGGGCAAGACGAATATATTATACATTTACCACTAAGTTTACTCCCCCAAATTCATATCTAAACATTATTTTGTGTTATACATGTATTTTGGACAATCGTGAAAGTCTACGAGGGTAATGACATAATTACACAGCTTTTTTTTCTGAATCTTTAGAATCGTGTTACAAGTGTAATAGACTTTCAATAAAGATTTTAGCTGCCACGATTTTTCTTTCTTTTTTTTTTTTTGGGGGGGGGAGGGGGATTGGGTGTTATATTGTGAATAAATCCTGTCAGAAAATTAATTCAAATCGAATCGAATCAAATTTGTTACTGGATGATGGTATAAAGATATTAATAAACCACTTCTTGCACTTAAAGTGTCATATGAGATTGCTTTGATTCCTTCCAAATTAATGTTCATTTGTAATATAAAATATTCGATTAAGTTAATGAAATATCCTAGCTTGTCATGTGTTATAGTGTATTAAGACTTTTGTGACACGAAAAAATGTAGATCCGTACTATTGCTCCGGTTGTCTCATTTTCGCTCGCTGGACGTATATAGCAGACGACAATTGGTGGATTAGATGACACTTGGTAGTGAATTTGTATGTGAGATTGCTTTGCTAAATATAAAATACAACATTTTCCATATCTTTAAACTATCATTGATATCTGATAATTAAACTGTTATTAAAATAAACCTATCAAACTACATAATACAATGAAATACTTGGCTTAAAGTAGGGGAGTTTGATGTGGTGCATAATTGCACCCCTCTGTAAATAATCGAATAGTCCATGGCGATCATGAATATTCATGTTTTTGCTTACCTCGGTAAAATGTTTGCCTATCTTCAATGGAAAAATTAATAAGTGGGGGGGGGGGGGGTTGGATGAAATGGACATAATGAACCGATCAGAACTGATCTATTATAATTCATGCTTCTTATCCTTCGTGTGCTTGACCTAAAACCTTACAATCGCTTGGCAAACTGAGTCCAAAGTTCGACGTACGTCGGGGTGGATGTGCTTTTCGTTTAAACAAAAAAAGAATCTGTAACGATTTTGGGGGGTAAAATTCCATAGGCTAACATGTTAGGCTGCTGACTCTGACGATAGGGAGCGTTGTCAAATGAGACTAAACGGAGCTATATGATAACATTTCTTAAAGAAGTGAGTTGTCCCTCCTTAGATAACGCGGTCATTCGTGAGACAAACGCTATGTATACGTTGTGCATTCGCTATGCAAAGTTCCAATAGGGTTGGACGTATTTGGGCGGACAACGAACAAACGTATACCGAATGTGCAAAACGTTCCAACAGTGAATGCTCAACCTAAATACATAGCATATCGCTCATTACGTTGTCACACGATCAACATTTTGAACATCTTCAAAATTATAAAACGACCTCCTCTAACGAAAAGAACTTTATGTCATACTTGCATGTCACGAACGAGTGAACTTTAAATAAACTTTAAATACTCAAACGTACACCTAAATTTCCAAGAAACATCGGCCACAAGTTAGCTCTACACACTGACAGGGCTTTTAATAACTTCATCGTCTTAATTTTACACTTCCATTTATAATACATCCTTTTTTTCGCAGGTCTTTCAGCGTCGCCAGGACGGCACTGTAGACTTTTATCAAAACTGGGCTGCATACAAGAATGGCTTCGGTGATTTAGAGGCAGAGTTTTGGCTTGGTAATGATATCATTCATCGCATCACATACCAAGGAAATTATACGCTCCGTATATACATGGTGGACCTAAACGGGCAATCATCGACGGCATTGTATAACAACTTTCGTGTGGCTAATGAGAGTGAAGGTTATCGCCTAAAAGATCTCACATACAACGCAACTTCTTCAAATGGAGGTTCGATTGTGCTTCTTAAGCCCACCGCATTCTATAATGATCTTCCTCCGATCCAATTTTCGAAGAATGGCAATTATATTTTATATTAGATACGGAAATTTGTACAAACGTCATCTTTCTTATTTGAAGGGATACTTGAGTTTTGGTATAGAGGGCGCTACACAGATTTTTTTTTTGGGTGAGATAATGACAAACTGAGTGTTAAATTTGAAAGAGCATACAATTTAAAGGTACTATGTGCCATTTGCAGGTTTAAAAAATAGACAGAGTTTAAATGCCAACGGTATTTGAAAGACAAATTTCCATACGACAACTCACATATTGTAAAGTGAAGTTGTGTTAAAAAGTAATCTTCAAAATCGTTCAACGTCCATTTCAGCCATTTTGAAAATAGCCGCTTTTTTTCTTCTACCAGCAGCATATTTTCAAGGTAGTCCACCTTTTAGAACATCCCATGTCTCAAACCTTCAAAGTGGGGGTTTCCTCCCTTGGGTAACTATTATTATTATTATTAAAATCCTTTCTATTATTATCCATAGGTGACGCGTTGACTTTTCACAATGGACGTCAATTCACCACTCTAGATCGTGATCACGATTTAAATGCAGATGAAAACTGCGCCATTCTCTATAAAGGAGGGTGGTGGTATAATGACTGTTACTGGGCCAACCTAAACGGACGTTGGTCCTATTCAGACCTTAGAGGGATGAGATGGAACGAACCGTATTTGCAGGGTTCGACAATGGAGATAAAAGCCCCGTGATGAGAAGAGACTGATAAAGTTATCATGCACGCATAGAGTTTCAAAGCGTAGTTCACAACTTCACATCCCTCTGTAAGGAGTTTGTGAGGATTAGATAAAACGAAAATAAGGTTTACAGATCTATACGTATACAAACGTTATGCCGATCAACTTCTCCTATTTAGACGCCATTGTGATATTGTTAATGAATTGTGTTTTTCCTAAACGTTGATAATTTTCCAAGAAGCGTCCAGATGTGTACGGGGCAAATCAATTGAAAATACTCGTGTTTTACGACATTGTCTAAATGTTAAATGTTATTTAAGTAAAGAGTTCTGGGACTAAATATACCAATATTGATGATTACCAGCGCTTCAAAAAAACATCGTTTGAAACTGTTTTGAAGTTTGATTTCGATATCAATTAAGATGGAGATGGAAAAAGAAGATTTTCATGTCTATTTTGTATAATAAGGTATCATAATCTTTGTCGAAGTAATATTAGAAGCTGATACTTTGAGGTATAGTGCGTTGATTGGATTGCACATATTATATTCATACAGTTATGAATAGAAGTGACGTGAAATCATAGTTTTCTAATATGCTATTTATTAACATCCATTGTAACTATCATGGTTTCATGGTTCAAGATTTATTATATTCATTCAAGTGTTATTGTATTCATTCAAGATTCATTGTATTCATTCAAGATTCATTGTATTCATTCAAGATTCGTTGTATTCATTCAAGATTCGTTGTATTCATTCAAGATTTATTAGGTTCATCAGATCAGATCCGAATGAACGATATTTTTTCTCTTCAAAAATATTTATCTATTAAAAGTGGAAGCTACTTAATTTTCGTGTTATTTTAATTTACGATCATACACATTGTAATGACACCCCCCCCCCCACCGACACCCGCGAAGCTAGTATTGTTCAAACAATGCAATTTATACGTAGTAGTCATGTAGAAGTGGTTTTTTTGTTGATTTGTGTTCTAGATGGGTATTGAAGTAAATTAAGCTTGGTCGCCAGCTTGGCAACCTTGGGCAACTTTTTTAATAGCCATATTAGCATAATCATCTAATTAGCATATGTGCAATATGTAATAATGTTGCTAATCTCAATCCAGGAAGCCTGAAAACATGGATAATACGACTTTTCAAGGGTTTTCTATGACGAGGAATTCATATATGACACCAATTTCTTTTGTTAAAGTAATATATTAGTCTTAAATATCATAATTAGCATAATATGTACAACATAATGCTCCAATTGTCATTGTTTATCTATAAAGCCTAAAATGGTGCAATGCAACATTGTAATCACTTTTGAAAGATTAATCATTAGTTCATGAAAAGATATTCCATGTATATGTAGTATAACTAGCCTAATTAGCATAGTAATCTAATTACCATATATTATGTGTAATATGTAATAATGTTACTAATCTCAATCCAGAAAGCCTGAAAACATGGATAAAACGACTTTTCAAGGGTTTTCTATGACGAGGAATTCATTTATGACACCAATTTGTGATTCCAAGTAATGCAATTGTCTTAAATAGCACAATTAGCATTAATGAGCTAATAAGCATGTGTACAATATGGACTTCATTGTCATTGTTTATCTATAAAGCCTAAAAATGGTGCAATGCAACATTGTAAATCACTTTTGAAAGACTAATTATTAATTCATGAGAAGATATTTCATGTAGATGTAGTATAATTAGCTTAATCAGCATATTATGTGCAATATGTAATAATGTTGCTAATCTCAATCCAGGAAGCCTGAAAACATGGATAATATGACTTTTCCAGGAATTCTGCCACCAGTTTGAGCAACGTCGGGCTTGTACTCTCAGTCTCAATGGTTCTGGCTTTGGTAAACATAGACAGATCATAGTTCGCACTGTTGTATTCCCTGTTACATCCCTGGCCTATGTACGTATCTGTCTCACCACATCATCAATTTCATCATTATCATTTGCTTTAACCATCTTCGGTGTGTTTTAGACAGTCTCTCTAAATCCAATGACTGAAGCGCAACCACCAATGCGTATGGTGAGCCTGTCATTTCCTAAACATTTCATGAGGTTCGACAACATTGCCCTGCGACCAAGATAACCACCACATTGGACATACAATTTGTGAAGCTAAATAGAGTCCCAAATAATTGATATTCTACATATATGCTAATTAGGCATATTAGTACAATAATTACATATCAAGCCAATTGCATTACTTAAAAATAAAAACTGGTGTCACAACTGAATCCCTTGTCATGGAAAACCCTAGTCCAGCCTCTGTACCGTTTTCGTTTAGCGCACCCAATCAGCTGATAAAATAACACACCCTCAACGTTGAAAGTAGACCTAGCCATTCCTCTAAATCTGTGGACGGAAATTTGGGGATTGCGCGATCAGTGGAGAGACCGCGCTGTGTGTGGGGGATAAAAAGAACGAACGGACTGAATCTGGACTAGGAAAACCCCAGAAAAGTCATATTATCCATGTGTTTAGTCTTCCTGGATTAAGATTAGCAACATTATTTCATATGGCACATACAGTGTATATGCTAATTAGGCTAATTATACGACATCTACATGGAATATCTTCTAATGAATTAATGTGTAGTCTTTCAAAAGTGATTTACAATGATGGACTATAGGAACATAAATATAATTTAAGAACTTGTATTGCAAGGAAAAAGGCGCGAATCCCAGTAAGCATAGCTTGTATTGGGTACGCCCGAATAAACAAATACATAACATACATTATTAATAGAAGAAAGAAAGAAAGGGATAGGCAAGGAGGATAAGATGGTAGAGAGCTTGGAGAAAGAGAAAGGAAGAGGACTGCAACAGAGTAGCAATGGAGTGTATGGCATGTATAAACAACATAATGGCAAGATATAGGTGAAGGGTATAATGTGGATTATAGAATAATGCTGGATTTATCACCCCTACTTCTGATATGTTTTAACGGTTCTAGGACACCTATTGGCGGATCCAGGGGGGGGGGCCGCCCTCCACCCCCCCCCCCCTGGCAAAAAAAGAAGGAAAAAAGGGGGAATAAAGAAGGGGGAAAAAAGAAGGAAAAAAAAGGGAAAAAAAAGAAGAAGGAAATAAAAGGGGAAATATATCAAAGGTATCAAAATATGACCGTAATTAAATGCCTAAAACCCCTGAGCTTCTGAGGTCTAGGCCCCCTGGATCTCACGCCAATTAGTGTACTGCCAGTGTCACAAATAAGGTATCAAAATATGTTCATCTGACCGTAATAAAATGCCTAAAACCCATAAGTTTCCGGGGCTTCACCCCCGCGGGCCCCTGCATGCTTGTCTGACTGTTATAAAATTCCTAAAACCTCTGAGCTTCTGGGGGCTCCGCCCCCGGACCCCACGCAAATTAGTTACCTGCCATTGTCACAAATAAGGTATACAATTATGCACATCTGACGATAAATTCACGTATAAAATCCCTGAGCTTTTTGGGGCTCCGCCCCCTGGTCCCAACACCAATTTGTGTACTGCCAGTGTCACCAATAGATATAAAACTATGCTCATCTGACCGTTATTTATTGCCCAAAACCCCTGAGCTTCCGGGAGCTCCGCCCCCTAGACCCCACACCAATTCATGACCGGCCAGTGTCACAAATAAGGTATAAAATTCTGCTCATCCGACAATAATTTGATGTATAAAACCCCTGAGCTTCTGAGAGCTCCACCCTGGGGAAAAAAAAACGGTTTTTTTTTTTTTTTTTTTTTTTTTTTTTTTGGGGGGGGGGGGGGGGTGCGATTTCCTGGAAGAAATCCTGGATCCGTGCCTGAGGACACCAACCCCCTGGACATCCACCCCCGGATAATCACCCTCAGTCAACTTCCCCCTAGGACATCTACCTCCTAGGACAACTACCCCCTAGGGCAAACACCCTCTAGGACGACTAACCCCCGGCACAACTTCCCCCGGACAACTACCCCCAGCCAACTACCCCCTAGGACAACTACCCCCCTAGGACAAGTATCCCCGGGCAACTACCCCCGGACAATTACCCCCTTGACAACTACCTCCGGACAACTACCCCCTTCACACAGAAAAATAAAAGGTGTTCTTGGGGAGTAAAACGAAATTGGAAAAATAGGGCGCCCCCTATTACTCCTTTTAGGGAGTAAAACACGGAAATACGCAAGGGTGAATAGTCATTTGAGGGATGTAATTTTACACCCTATTTTAGTCAGACGAGCTCTGATAAGTCAAAGCATTTTTCTGTTGTGACTGAATATGCGCATGCGCTACAGCAATGGCGCATCGTGTCGATATAGGTACTGCCAAATGAAGGAAAATTA